AATCAAGTGAGATTTATCCCTAGGATGCAAGGATTGTTCAACATACGCAAATCTATACGTGTAATCCATCACATTAACAGAATGCGGGACAAAAATCATATCATCTCAAGAGATAAAGAAAAAGCATTTGATAATATTCAATGTCTTTTCATGAAGAAAAAATCTCTAAAAAAATTGAGTATAGAAGGATTATTAGAAGGATTATACTCCAACACAATAAAGACTATATATGACAAACCCACAACTAACATCATACTCAGTGGTGAAAATCTAAAGGCTTTTCCTTTAAGATGAGGAATAAGAGGATACCCACTCTTGCTGTTGCATTCAACATAGTACTGGAAGTCCTAGTCAGAATGGTTGGGCAAGAGAAGGAAATAAAAGGCATCCAAATAAAAAATAAAGACGTAAAATGGTTTCTGTTTGCCAGCAACAGGAGCTTATATGTAGAAAACTCTGAAGACTCCACCAAAAAACTGTTAGAACTGTTGAACAAATTCAGTAAAGTTGCAGGATACAAAATTAACCACAGAAATACATAGATTTTCTATATGCTAACAATAAACTATCTGAAAAAGAAATCAAGAAAACAATCCAATTTACTATAGCATAAAAAACCCTTAGGAATTAATTTCATGAAGTAGGGAAAAGATCTGTTTGTAGAATAATATCCTGTGTTCATGGATTAGAAAAATTAATATTGTTAAAATGTCCATACTACCCAAAACATTCTACAGATTTAATATCATCTTTATCAAAATTCCAATGGACTTTCTAACAGAAATAAAAGTAATAATTCTGAAACTTACATGGAATCACAAAAGACCCCAAATAGCCAAACCAATCTTGACCAATAATATCAAAGCTGGAAATATTAAACTACCTGATTTCAAAATCTACTACAAGCTCTGGTAATCAAAACAGCATAGTAAGGACATAAAAACAGACACATAGAAGAATGGAACCAAATAGAGACCCCAGAAATAAATCCACTTATTTACAATCAACTGATTTTTCAACAAAGGTGCCAAGAACACACAATGGAGAAAAGACAGGCTTTTCAATAAATGGTGCTGAGAGAACTGCATATCCACATGTGGAAGAATGAAACTAGACTCTTATTTCACAACATATTAAAAAAATCCAACTGAAAATGGATTAAAGACTTAAACATAGGACCTGAAATTGTAAAATTGCTAGAAGAAAACGTAGGGAAAAATCTCTTTGATACTGGTATGATCACTGAGGTTTTTCTTGATATGACCCCAAAAGTACAGGCAACAGAACAAAAAATAGACAAAATGGGATTACATCAAACTTAGAAACTTCTGTACTGCAAGGGAGACAACAGAATAAAGAGACAATCTGTGAAATGGGAAAAAAATTTGTGAACCATACATCTGATAAGGAATTAATATTTAACTTAAATTTAAAAGAACCCAAATAAGTTAATAGTAAGAAAACGAATAATCCAATTAGAAAATAGGAAAAGGGGCCCGGGCGTGGTGGCTCACGCCTGTAATCGCAGCACTTTGGGAGGCTGAGGCAGGCGGATCACCAGGTCAGGAGATCGACACTATCCTGGCTAACAAGGTGAAAACCCGTCTCTACTAAAAATACAAAAAATTAGCCGTGCGAGGTGGCGGGCGCCTGTAGTCCCAGCTACTCAGGAGGCTGAGGCAGGAGAATGGCGTGAACCCAGGAGGCGGAGCTTGCAGTGAGCCCAGTTCGCACCACTGCACTCCAGCCTGGGCGACAGAGCGAGACTCCATCTCAAAAAAAAAAAAAAAAAAAAAAAAAAAAAAAAAAAAAAAGACAATGGGAAAAGGAGTTGAATAGGTATTTCTCAAAGAAGACATTCTAATGGCCAAGAGGTATACCAAAAAAAAAAAAATGTCCAGCCTCACTAATCATCACGAAAATGCAAATTAAAACTATAATGAGAGCTTACCTCATACCTGTTAGTAAGATTATCATCAAAAAGACGAAAGATAAGTGATAGTGAGGAGGGGGAGAAAGGGAATACTTGTACACTGTTAATGGGAATGTAAATTAGTACAGCCATTTTGGATAACAGTATGGAGATTCCTCAAAAAATTTGAAATGGAAATACTGTATGATCCAGCAATCCCACTAATGGGTATATATCCAAAGGAAAGGAAGTCAGTATTTAAGAAGATATCTGCACTCCCATGTTAATTGCAGCAATATTCACAGTAGCCAAGACATGGAAACAATGTTAAGTATGCATCAACAGATGAACTGATAAAGAAATTATGTCATATAGACACATAAACAGTTGGGTGTTGTTCAGCCTTAGAAAATAAGGAAATCTTGTCATTTGCAACAACATGGGTGAACCTGGAGGACATTATGCTGGGTGAAATGGGCCAATCACAGAACACGGAAAGAAAAATACTGCATTATCTCATTCACATGTGAAATCAAAAATGTCAAATTCATACAAATAGAGTAGAATCATGGTTGCTGAGGGGCTGGTCAGGGAGAGGAGCAAATAGGGGATGTTGGTCAGAAGACTCAAAGTTTTACTTTACACAGGATGAATAAGTTCTAGAGATTTATTGTACAGCATTGTGTCTATAGTTAATACTTTTTTATTGCATACTTGAAAATTGCAGAGAGTAGATCTCAGGCATTCTCACCACACAAATAAAAATAAGTATGTGAGGTGATGGATATGTTAATTAGCTTGATCGTAGTAGTCACTTCACAATGTCTGCATATATCAAAATGTCACATTATACACTGTAAACGTATACATTTTTTCTTTGTAACTGTACCTCAATAAAGTTAAAAAAATTACGGATGCACTATTAAAACTGTCATAGCACTGCAGCACAAGGCAGAGGAGAAGAACATGCCTTATAAGGAGTGGGGAATAATTGGCAGGATCTATGTCTTTTTTCTTTCAATAAATTTCTTTAAAAGTTATCTACTGAATCTCTGAGCCAATCTCTAATATGCTGTGATTACAGTTCTGATATCCATGCTGTTATATAGACATGGAGGGATATGTGGTGGCTAGAGGCACTGGCTTAGATGCAAGCAAACAAATGCTATGTGTGTATAAATATATATCTCTCTATGAAATATACACATGTATATATCCATATTTATATCTAGATAGCTATCATCTCTCTATATCTGGATATAGAGATCTATATCTAGACACTCTCATACAGAGCAATGCATACTGAGTGTGGCTCGTGTGATATGGTGGTACCAGGGCCACCTGGCCGGTAGTTGCACTGTGACCACTGAAAATCAGTGTCATACCTACATCCGCAGAATTTGCTCTTTTGGATTCTCTTACCTTGTTACATATTCAAGTTGCAGTGAGATTTAGACCCGTGGCTGTTCCTCTTGTGGCCTGAGATTTAACTTAAATCGTCACTGTTGGACTGCTTGATGTATGCAATGGCTTAGAGCAAGAGAAAGTTTACAAAGAAAGCACTCCAAAAATTGAGAGGACCCAGCTGAATCAATTCTCAGGCCTTCAAGAACTGTGGACTCGGGGCTTCTGTTTTTCTTCTTTCTGATTTTTCAGTTACTTTTCCTGCTACTGTGGAGGTGACTAATCCCATGTGGAAACCATACGAAGGCATGAGCAAGGGAAGTGCACTCTGTCTATAAATAAGTAAAACCTCAACCAGAGGTGACCCAGTGCTGCAATTAGATGTCCAGTCTCTAAAAACAAACTTCAGAGCTTCCTCATGGCGTTTTTCTTCTGGCTCTGTGGTGTGGGTTGGGCAGGAACAGATCATGAAAAGGGAGGTGTATGATTCCAGCTGGCACGCTGTGGCCACAAATAGGATTTCAGCTTTTGATCAATGAAGCTCATAGGGAAACTCCAACCCTAAAATAAATGCAAAGACTGCTTTAATCAAGGAGAGTCTCTGGACAACTGTAATTCCTGTGAGAACATGAGAAGATGATGGAGAAAATATTCATCCATAGGTGTGGTGCTTTCCAACTCTTACTGGCAAGCTAACGTCAGGGAAGGGAGGGGAGAACTATAGACCATTTGGTGTTTTTCAGATGGTGTGATGCAGCCATTTAGAGGATAGTAAAATCATTTTACTTGGACATAAAAATACTTTTAAAATAGAATACAATTAAATGGAATAAAACAGTAACTAGAAAAAAAATCATAGTGCATTGTGTGCAGTGTAGATAAGTATTGTTTCATGAGTTTTTTGCAGGGTGTGTGTGTGTGTGTGTTTGTGTGTATGCATTCATGTGTCCTAAATTGGGATTTGGTATGATGTGTTTTTTTTTTTTTGGAGAGGGGGTTGTTTGTTCTGGTTTTTTACTGTGGGTCCTGGTCAAAAACGTTCGGTAAAGATTGCCATAATTTAGCTCTTTGCCACATACTTTTGGGATTCTGGGCTTTAAAAACCTAACACTGAAATTCTAACCACTCAACACTGAGCTTTTTTAAAGACTGTAACTTTTACTCTTTTTGGCAGTGTTAATCAACGGCATTGGCTTGAGGAGATAACTGAGGTGGCAACAAGCTGCCTAAAATAGTAAATGGGAGGTTTATAATGAAGCTCTTGGAAGCAGATAAGACCAGGGAGAGAGGACACCAGACAACACGTGTGTGCTTGTGTATGTGTGTGTATCAGAGAGAGAGATTTAGAGACCAGGATTCACTAGAGGACACGGCGGGGGTAGGATGGGGTTGGGGGTACTGTTTTTTCTGGTAAATAATCTAAAACCTTGTTGTCCATGCTGAGACCTCAACAAGAAAACAGGTTCCAGTATGTGATGTGACTCCAAACCCAAAGAATTAACCTGAGCATCAGAAACCAGGAGTCCTTCTGGGATTTTTGTTCCCTACCTCAGGGAAACACTTTGTTTCTGATTGACAATAGAAGATATAAAGGAACTTTTGGAAAATCCAGGATGACATCACCTTGTTCTGGAAATTACTGAAGAGGAACCAAAGTATATGGAGCCATGTCGTGCTTATTTGATTTAATGTGATTATTTCTCCTGTCCTCTCTTATAGGATACTCACTTTGTTTCCAAATGCCATAGCTCGAAAATTACTGCTGATGTTGATATTTATCTTAATTTTCTGGGTCATTTACTTGGCTTCAAAAGACCACACAAAGGTAGGAAGTTTCCTTTTTAAGAATATCACAGAAGGTCACAGTGACTTCATTTGAATGACCCCCTTTATCATGGCAAGAAATAAAAGTTAAAGGCATATCATCTTAGCAGGAGAACGTGGATCGGGGGTTCACTGTTCAGCATAAATCCCTTTGGCAATGCATACTTTATCATGGCAAGAAATAAAAGTTAAAAGCATATCATCTTAGCAGGAGAATGTGGATCAGGGGTTCACTGTTCAGCATAAATCCCTTTGGCAATGCATACATTATTATTACTATTTTAAATGGCAATGTATAGATTATTATTGTTTCTCTTTAGAAAATGGCAGATGGATTTGTGCCATCTCCGTACTACTTGGCACTGTAAACATCCAGCCTCAAAATTCTCTCCTCCTCCCTTGGCCTCTGAGATTTCAAACTAATTAAGTTTCTGTTTCAGTCCTCTGCCTTTTTCACAGGGGTTTTCTTCTTCTGTAAGTAGTTTAGTGTCTTTTGACTCTTCCCTTTGTAAGTTTTTCTTAACTCACCTTGCTTCCAGTTTCTTTTCTTCCCGACCATTTAGTACAAACATAATCTTTCAGAAATTCTGCTTTCATCATCTCCCGGTCCTGATCAAATGCTTTCACCAATGACAATATAAAGAACAAACTCCTTTGTTTAGCCATTTGAGGTCCATTTACATTTGAACCCAGCTACCTTTAAAAGTGTCTCTCTAACCTTTGTCTAATGCAGACTTACCTTCAAGCTTCAAACAAAAAGCACCACAGTCTAGGGCATTCAACCAGTAATATGAACTGGTAAAAAAAAAAAAAAAAAAAAAAAAAAAAAGCCTTCAGAGCACAGCACAGGAGGTTTCTTTTCCTGGGGCCTCTTTTTAAATATGTATTCTCTAGATTTCTTCCTCTGATCCTCTTCTCTTCTGTGCTTGTACCTTTTAGTTCATTTGCCCAGGTCCTATCCACTACCAATATTAGTGTTTCACAAAGTGAGGTCTGGGAGCCTTCTGCCCAGAACACCTGTGTTTATTCCTGTGCGTAAAATGCAGATTCCTGAGCCATACTCCAGAACTACTGTAATTTCAGTTTGAGCCTAAGATTACAAAGTATTAACAAGCTCCTCAGCTTATTCTTAAGCATGCTAACATTTGAAAATCTCTGCTATGTCCTTCCAAGGCTGAAACCTTTTCCCAGCCCCACTCTTGAATATATACTATTCATTGGATATCTCCACCTAAGTCTTCCACTAGCACTACCAACACAAAACACACACACCAAATTTGTAATCTGTCTCACCGTCATCCCCCTAATAAAAACAAAACAAAACAAGCATACAAAATCAAATCGAAACAAGTTCTCTCCTTTTATCTCTCCAGTCTTAATAATTGTTGCCATAGCCTGTGTAGTCAATCAAGCTAAAACTCCGTCCACAAGCTATCAGCCACTAAGTCTTATCAATCCTACCTCGAAAATGTCTCTCAAGTCTGTCCTTTTTATCTCCATCCACATTGTCGTTCTTTAGACCAATACTTTGTCGTTGCGCATCTAAATTGTTGAAACAGTTTTCCAATTAATTTCCCTGCCTCCAGTCTCAGCCTGCTCTAAGCATTCATTCAGCAGACATTTGTTAAGTGTATATTGTGTGTCAGGCACTGGTCTAGGCATTAAAGATGCAGAAATACAGGACATCATCTTTGTGTTCAAGAATCTGAAATTTTATTTCTAAAATGAAAATTTGAATATGGTACTCTACCTTCAGTGGCTCTTCATGCAGCATGTGTATGGCCCAAACTCCTTGGCACAGTGTTTTATTGGACTCATTTAAATAAAGGGCACAGAAACTCACTAGGCCTGGTCCAAGACATCCTTGCACTGGCTGTTTTCTTTTTCTTCCCTTTCTCCAGGTTTCCATGTAACTTCCACATAGTTCTTATTTCCTTCAAGTTTTTTTCATCTTCTTGATTTAACACCAGACACATCTCCACTCCCACCTCTTAGCATTCCCCTTACTCTGAATGTTTTTTAACATAGCAATTATAATTATTACTGATAACATACATTAAGTGATATTAGAATTATAGGAGTTTCCCATAATTTTGGAATACATACTAATAACATATTTACACAAATACAGTGCAAAGAAAACCAAATACCATTTTATATTTGACAACACTTCCTGTATAATTTTTATACCAAATAAGACAAACATGTCATTTTTGAACTTTAGGGGACCTATTAGTAATATCTTAAAGGATAAGTAAAGTCAGAAAAAGACATAATTTATAATTTGAATTTGGAAATTTTGTCAAATATCAAAGGTTTAAAACACTTGATATTACAAAGTAGGATCACAGGTCATTGTAAAATAAATCATTCATTTACCAAAGTGATAACTCAAGGATTTTTTTAAAAAGGCAAAACCTTTATTCTTTGAGAGAGGAGACTTAATTTTCCAAACAATAAGCCCTAATAAAAACAGCAGGAAGCCAATCAAATTTATTTTCCAAAATTTTATAAACAATCTATAAAATTGTCATCCTGATCATAAGATATAACTTCCATAAGTCTTTATAACCTTTATTAAGGAGTAGGTTAATGCTTCAAGAAAACTTTGTTAATCTGACATAGGGGCCCACATGCTGGTCTTGCATCAGTGTGCCTTTGACATTAATGATTATAGAGAAACTGAACTTATTTTATCTTTTAAAATTGGCTCTTACAATCTCATATACCCACCTCTTCCAAGACAGTCCCTGAGCCTTGAGGAGTTGAATAGCTTTAATTTCTAGCCCTGTGTCTCAGGAATGCAGATAATTTTGATTGGCATCTTCTACCAGGCCTGAAGATGAGGCTTTAATTGCTGTCAGAGCTTAAGTTTAGCAGGACTTGGTGTTCTTTTTAGACCCAGAAGTCAAAGCCCTGTAACTCAATGTCACAAGGACTTTAAAAGCACATACAGGAAGATACAAGGATGTAATAATATTAATTAAAATTTTTTTAATCTCAATTTTTTCCTGAGCAAACCAAACTTAATAATAGTGGCATAGGAATTATTTCAATAAAACTTAAAATCTGTTAGTCTAGTTACCAAAGGCAAAAGAAAAGGCCTTTTGTAGTGCATAGAATATTATGTTGGAAGAAGACATTTCTTTAAATCTTTAAGAAAACATTGCCAGCATCAGGCCACAAGAAATAGAACCTGAGGAGGAAAAAAAAAAAAACCCAAAAATAAAACCTTATATGAACTGAAAATGAGTTGAAGGGTAGTGTTACTACTTCATGTCTTTTAAAAGGGGAGAGAAAACCAAAACCTGTGAGATATAATAAAAGTTGAACTTTGGGTTAAAATTAAAAAATTAAAATATCTTATAATTTATTAAGAGTGAATAAACCCTTAAGAAAGTTTCATTGTTCTAACCAATTCTATTCTTTAGTGTGTAAGTAGGTTTTTTTTACATCAAACCTGATCTATAGAAAGACCATTATATTTTCCCTTTAATCATAGAGAACTAGATCATTTAAAAGTTTTTGAGTTTTTAAAAATAAATCCTCTTATTGTCACTTACACAGGCTGTTCATGACATGCTTGGACTTTCTGGTTTGTCCTGAACATCCCTTTTCCTTTAACAACCAGTCATTTTACTCTAGGACTAAATTTACCATACAATTCTTTCTTGTTTGAATTATTTTTTGTAATAGTATTTTTCACTTTCTAAAATAATATATGATTTACTCATTTATTATGTTCATTGATTATTGTCTATCTTTATCTAGTTTATAATAACATTTATAGAGTCAAAGTTTTTTTTTTTTTTTTTGTTTTTTTTTTGAGATGGAGTCTCACTCTGTCACCAGGCTGGAGTGCAGTGACGCGACCTCAGCTCACTGCAACCTCTGCCTCCTGGGTTCAAGTGATTCTCCTGCTTCAGCCTCCTGAGTAGCTGGGATTACAGGCACATGCCACCATGCCCAGCTAATTTTTCATTTTTAGTACAGATGGGGTTTCACCATGTTGGCCAGGATGGTCTCAATCTCTTGACCTCGTGATCCACCTGCCCTGGTCTCCCAAGAGTCAAAGATTTTTATAAGTGTTTATTGGTATCACAAGTGCCTAGAACAGTCTCTGGTACATAGTAGATACTTAATAATTAACTAGTAAATAACAAAATAAAGAAAGACTGTTCAGTTATCTGGGTGAGAGGTAATGGTGGCCTGAAATAAGCTATTAACAATAAGGAGGGAGAAAAGTCAATGAATTTGGGCTATAATTGACAGTAATAGTGATTGACTATGGGAGGTAAAGAGGCAGGTTTAACCAGGAGTTACCTTCCAAGTTTGTACAACTGCATGGCTGGTGATATCATTCACTGAAGTATTGACCAGAGTAGGAGAAATAGTTGGAAGACAAAAGATGGGTTTAGGTATGAACAGTCTAGGTTTGGGTCATTTTAGGTCAACCAAGTGGAGATGTTGTAAATATAGATCTGAAACTGGGAAAGACCTGGCTTAGAAAAATAGATTTAGGAAACATCAGAATACAAATGGCAGCTGAAGTCATTGTAGTCTGTGACATTTCCTTGGATGAGCTATAAAGTGAGAAGAAAAAGTTGCTAGTGATATAATCCTGAGAAACAAAATAAGCACTGGGCTGAGGAGTTAGTGTTAGTGGAGAAGGTACACATGGGATGGAAGAGGACCCTTGAGAAACTTAATTGGTAGAGGTGAGGAACTGATGAAGGTTAGAATAGCAATTAAAGGGGGAATCAGAGGCTCAAAAAATTTCCTTTTTGTAATGTGGAAGATACTTGAATATATTTTAATTCGTATGGAAAAAGGCTAATAGAAGAAAGTAGGAAGTAGAAAAGAAAAAGTGTGATTACACATGTTTGGCAGTGTGACAGGAAGTTGAATTGCTAAGTGATTACTCTTACAGTTCTCTAAAGCCAAGAAGCTTCAAGAGCAAAGAAATTTAGGTATTGGAGGAACTGCCTTCATGGATATTGA